CTGTTCTATTCTCTAAACCAAATTAAAATAATTTTAAAAAATCTTAAAGCCAGCCCTTATCGTTTATATACTTATCAAGCTTTTTCATAAACTCACTTAAATTTACTGCCTCTACAATAGCCGAAGGCAACCCATTCTAAAGGCAAACCACTTTGTTAGAAAAATGAAACTGTCTTAGCTGAAGATGACTTCTACCTTGCCAAATTTAAATATGTCCCCTAGTCCTACTATTCTCACTGTTAAAAATTTTAAAAAAGATGATGCATCAATTCCCTTTAAAATCTTAAACACCTCAATCAAATCCCCCCTAACTCTTCTTTTTTCAAGAGTAAGTAATTTGAGAGATTTCAGCCTCTCCTCGTATGACAACCCCTCCATCCAAAACACCATTCTAGTAACCCTTTTCTGAACCCCTTCCAACAAGTCAACGTCTTTCCTAAAGTAAGGAGACCAAGACTGAACATAACATTCCAAATTTGGCCTAACAAACGACTTGTACAATGAAATTATAACCTTTTTAGACTTGTATTCAATATTTCTGTAGATACAACCTAAAATCATATTTGCCCTACCACTAGAAACAGTACACTGCTTGGGTGGCTTTAGAGACTGATTACAAAAGTCTCGAGTCAACTACCACATATGACAGAAATGTGTAACCTTTTGTTCCCCTAGCGAGTAAACGCGTTCTTCGCGTTCGAAGAATATTTAAACTTTAGGCCTAATTTTCGATATTTAGTCGCCTCTTGGAATTTGTAATGAGGTGTAATGGTTTTGATTTATTATCGCACTTTATCTATATCAATATAATAGTACTGTTTCTTGCGTATCCATATAACTACTTCGTAGGGTGTGGATGGATCTTCATCAAAATTAGTATGGAATTTAATTAGATCCATGTGGGGCTACATACAAATTTTGAGTTTTGCATTTTCGGTTTTTATGGGCGTTTTTTACCACTACTTCGCCCCCCGTAGATAGACCTTCACCAAATTTGGTATGGAGGTTCATTGGGTCCATGGGGAGATACATACAGATTTGCGGTTTCACATTTTGTATTTTGCAATTTTTATGGGTGTTTTTTACCACTACTTCGCCCCCTTTAGATGGATCTTCACCAAATTGTATATGTAAGTTCATAGGGTCCATGGGGAGATACATACAAACTTGCGGTTTCACATTTTGTGTTTTGCAATTTGTGCGTT